GCCTGGAAAAGGACGTTGTTGAGTTGGAAAAGCACAGAGGAGGGCCACAGAAATGATCCAGGGGCAGGGGCAGCTTAGAAAAAAGGTGAGAAAGGTGAGACATGGAGGTGCTGAAAATAACGTGTGATGTGGAGAAAGGGGCGAGGGAGAGATTCCCACCACACTCGAACCCAAAGGGGTCACCCCATGAAGCTGATGGGTGGGAGGCCTGGGACAGGTATTTATTTATTTGAAACATTTCTATGCCGCCCCCATCGCAACAAAGCCTCGGGACGGCTCACAGCAAAAACAAACAAAAGCATATAAAAAGTATACAATAAAAATATTAAAACCCGGTGCATCTCGGCTTAATTTTTTTAAAAAAAACCCTGTCACAACTGTCACCATCAGCACACCTGCCCAGACCCCTCATGTGGCTCCCTTCTAACTGCGCTCGGCTCGCTCCTCTCCTCTCCTCTCCACTTCCCCCCGGGCTCACTGGCACCCCTTCCAAGGGAGCCCCTGCTGCAGCCCTTGAGTTTCCACCTCCGACGAACTGCAGTTGTTGACACTCCTGTGGCCCTGGGAGTTCTTAAACTTTTCTTCTTTGCTGGCTGGTTTGGATTATGACTCACATAACCTTTTGAAATGCAAGCCTGCCAAAAGCACTCCAGAATCCAAGCTTTATTTTAAACCTGTGTGTATGTGACAGGGAAGCAAATTATTTATCTCAGTGTTGTGAAAACTGCATGTAGTCATGGACCGGAGCATACATTCTGCCTCAACAGCAAACCTTTCCAAGCTAAAGGTCAGTGTAATTTCTATTTCGCAGCAAGGCTGAGAGATGGGCTGGAAAGCATAGCATAAAGACCCTCCCTGTGTCTGGACTGAAACAGGGGTTAATTTCGAAATGAGAGGTTCAGATATGCTGGCTGGTGTTCTGGCTCAAAGTCCCAGTGCCTGAACTGCAGAGATGCTGGTTTTCAGGACCAAGTGGTGATTGTCGGTGGCTGGGCCCATGGCTTGTCGAGCTCCAGAGGTGGGCTTCCGAGCTCGGCAGCTGGACGAGAGTGAAGCACAAAGGCATCCTGCTGCCGGACGACGCAGAGAAAGGAGGCCAAGTCTGTCTGTGCGTCATGGTAGGTGCACAATGGTCTCATCAGCAGTCCAGATGCTCAAGTCACCAAGGTTTAGCAACGTTTCCATACTCCTTACCCCAGCACTGAATCCTCCTGCAGTTTTCCTCCATCCTGGTCCAGCAGGCACAGCAGTGTGATTCCTTGGACCCGGCAGGGTGATTAAATCATACCATAGAATAGTAGTACGATTACTATTATTCATAGTAATGAGCTGGAAGGGGCCGAAGGGCCATTGGGTCCGACCCCTGCTCTGGGCAGGACTTCCAGCTGAACCGTCCCTCTCAGAGGGCTGTCCAGCTCCACCTTGAAGGCCCCCAGAGTGGGAGAGCCCCCCGCCTCCCTGGTAACTGGTTCCATTGCTGTACTGTTCTGAGGAATTTTCCCCCGATCTCTAGCCTGAATCCAGCTCCCAACTTGAGCCTGTTATTCAGTGTCCTGCACTCTGGGATGGTCAAGAAGAAATCCTGTCCTTCCCCTTTGTGACAGCCTTTCAGGTGCTTGTGGAGTGCTATCATATCCCCCCTCAGTCTTCTCTTTTCGAGGCTGAACATGCCCAGCTCTTTCCATCTCTCCTCATAGGCTTTGCTTCCAGGCCCCGGGTCATCCTTACTGCCCTCCTCTGGACCCATTCCAGCTTGTCTGCATCTTTCTTCAACTGTGCAGCCATATTGCATTATTGACACATTTAGCTTGTGATCCACAACAATTCCAAGTTCTGCCTCACTTGCAGTACTGCTGAGCCAAGTATCTCCCATCCTGTAGCAACGCATTTGATTTCCTTTTCCGACGTGCAGAACTTGGGATTCATAGTAGGAGGGTGGAAAGACAGCAGAACTTTTTTACATCTTGTAGAAACCTTTCTCTCTTTTCCTGAGCAGAAAGCTCAAAGCTTCATGCTAGATGAAACCCAGTAACTAAACTGGGCTGTATAGAAACCTCGCATCCCCCGCGAGAATTGCTGCTCCCTTAGTGAAACCCTTTGAGCCTCCCCTCTCATTCCTAGACACTGTCACTTTCCTCAGAACCTTCTCCTGATTTTCACTTGGCAACTCTCCTTCCCTCCCATGCTGAAGAAAAAACGTGAAAAGAGAATGCTGTGGTGGCAGCAGGTCCCTTCTGCAAAATAACTTCGGGATCAGAAATAGCTGCACCTCCACTCTTCTCATTCCTTCTTTTGCAGAAGAAGCAGCATCTCCTGCCATCTCCTAACAGCATCCAGGGGAGAAAATGAAGCCAACCCAAAGTAAACTGCTTGGCATTTCCCCTCCTGCAATGAGACCCCTTCCTTCCCTTGCCCGTTCCACCATGAATCTGCTTCGGCACATATCCATGCTTGCTTCCTGCCCCAATTACACCACCCCATTTATGCTCTTGGGACCTTCAACAGATGATTTCAGTGATCCACAGAGATGGGGATCTGCCCATGACCATTTTGTGGCCTCTGACTAAACAAAATACTTCATGGCTGATCCCAGTGGTAACAAGGCGCTGTAGATTCATGGGAATGCTCAAAAAGGAGACATCATTGAACAGATGACAGGAAAAGACCACCACTAACAGGTGAATTGTGATTTGCAACTGGATCAAAGTTGACCTAACATGGATCACATGACAACCCCTTTTTGGAAAACGGGACGGACAAAGATGAGGCAGAAGAAAGAAGGGCAGAGGAAAAAACAAGCAGAGAGATGCAGAAGAGGAAAGGTAGAGACAAACTGTGAAAGAGATCCATGTAACAAGGTAAGAAGGCACACAAGAACAGGCTGCTGGGTCCCTCCTGTGATAAAAGGGTCTGTCTGGGATTTGGAGAGGCTGAACAATTACTTGGTGAAAACGCTTGTTCGTTTGGTATGCCACCTGGCTTACACCAATACAATTTAAATTCAAAACACACCTTAGTTAAAACATAGCACAAATAAAAATAGACCCATTAAACCAAAATTCAAAAGATAAAAATGCAACACAAGAAATTGTATCTGACCATATAAAAAGACAGATGTCTGACAGGCCAGAGTCTGCCTGAGCAAACACCTGTGGCTACTGGCAGAAGAGGTGGAGCCCCCCGGGCCTCCCTCCCCAGGGAGCGGCAGAGCTCAGGCCAGCCCCAGAGGCCTCCCCCGTCTCCCCCCCAGGCATGCTTCCAAGGACAGTGGGACCAAGCGAGGGGTCTTGGAGGCCCCGATAACGTCTCTCTCTGCGCTCCCCAGCGGGCTGACCAAGCAGCAGCTCACCAACCCAAGCCAGCTTTCTGGTGCACTAAGTCCCCCTCTTCTCTGTTGGCGCTTTTGACCCGAAATGCGACTGCTTGCCTGAGATCCTGACAGTGGCGCCCGGTGACTTATTTCACATCAGACAAGGACACATTTTAAAAAGGAAGGGGGCTAAAAAGGAAGTGGGAGGAAAACATCTGGAGGCTTTGATCTGTTCAGAATGCATGAGGGTCACCCGAGCAACAGTACTCACCTGGAATGCACCACCAAGCCCCAAAGTTCAAAAGATCGTTTAACAAAGTGTGACAGAAAAGAAAAGAAGAACGCTTCAGAATTGGGAAACCTTGTCCAGACAAGGAGAGCCCCAGGCGGCACCATCTTGTCCCAGGGATCTGGAACGGCCCCATCCTGTGGGCCAGGGACCCCCTGGGAGGCTGCAGGACTCTCTGGACTCCAAGGGTTGGGGCCTTGGAACTGGGGCCCTGAAGGCCCAGCCCACATGCCCACCCTAACGGGCCAGAAAGGACTTGCGCGCCCGCCTCGCCCGCCTGGCATCGCAACCAGGCTGCTGAAGGTGGGGGGGCAGTGTTCCCGGAGCCAGGAAGAAGGGTCCTGGGCTGGTGGATTTACAGCAGTACCAGTGGGCACCCCCCCCGCCCCCCAGCAGTAAATCTAGGTGGCTGAAGGGGAAAACGCTTAAGGAGCGCTTACATCCATATTTGCCCAGTCGCCCCCTGAGATCGGCGGGAGAGGCCCTGCTCCGGGAGCCCTCCGTGAGAGAAATTAGGAGGGTGGCTACTCGGAGGAGGGCTTTCTCAGCGGTGGCGCCTAAGTTATGGAATGCGCTCCCCAGAGAGGTCCGCCTGGCGCCGTCGTTATTTGTTTTTCGGCGCCAGGCTAAGACCTTTTTATTTAAGCAACATTTTAAATGCTAAATACAATTGAATTTTATCTGGCCAGGGCGGCTTATTTTATAATGTGTGTTTTAATTAAGATTATTTTATATGGATATTTTAACTTATTGTTTTATCTATGTTGTAAGCCGCCCCGAGGCTTCGGCGAATGGGGCGGCATAAAAATGTTTTAATAAATAAATAAATAAATAAAACGCGGGGCACAGGGAGTGGGGGCAGAGAGCACAGCTCAGTGGAATCCATTCAAGACAAATGTGAGAGAGGTGATCCTCCAGTAAAAAAATGTCCCTGAAATCAGCCTCTGTATAATAAAAATACAATAAAAGTACCAGAGAAATCTGAAAAAAACCATTAAAAGGTTTTGAACAGCTAAAAACATGCAAGACGTGTAATTGCACGTTTAGAATTCCATCGCCCTAAAGTGTTTCAATTCAGCTGAGAAACACAGGAGG